TGCTTTTTGCTGACATCTGTTTAACTATTACCATTTAGCTGGTCCTAGTTTTAGAATGAATGTTTTAACATTGGAATTCACCCTTTGAAGTGAAGGGAGTTAGCTGGTGTTGAGACGCAATCATTGTATAATGAAGGTGTTCTCTATAGCTGTTTAGACTTTAACCAAAGCCCAAATATATAAGACCTGTGCCTCAAGTCCTATGGCATGAAGTTATCATTAAATGTTTTATACACAAGAGATACCCTTGCAGAAGGGAAATCTGATTTTTAGAAAGATTTGTATTATTTTTTTCCTATGTTTCCTAGATGCAGTGACAAAAATTGTTATGAGTGCCTTGTCTCTTTCACTGTGTGTGTCATTCATATCTAAACCAGACTTTTTGGCAAAATGGTTTATTTATGAGAAGACGGCCAGGAAAAGGTCCCATATTGGAATTTACTGCCTGACTTTCTTTTTATGATTCCCTCCTGTGAGATCAACCTTGTGCTTAGTTTCATATGCTAGATCTCATTCTGCAAATTTTCTTGTGAACCTGCCTTACTGCTATGTTTTCTTTTACCAGTGCTGCTGTGGTTTCCTAAGTAAGCTGTAATGGGGAAAAACCTCATATTTTCCAATGTGTTTAAGTCTTTGCTACAGTATGTTGACTAAATATGGAGAATATTTTTGAATTTATGTTCCTAGAAAAGTTGTACATTAACAAAAATATAATAGTTATTTTTAATCACATGTTCATGTTGCTGCAGACTAGCCTATCCCATACTTTAATGACTTTCAAATATCATTAAAAACTCAAAAGATCCTCACTGTTATGCTGTGAGCTTTATTTGAAATGCTTAACATCTCTCAGGAGCTTCTAAAATGTGGTATTTTTCTTTTGTGTTTTCCCTTTGTTTTAATTCTTAAATGGTCCCTCTTTTCAGATTTCAAATTATAAACTATTTCCTGAGGCATTGCTGATGTCCCGCGAGCCATGTCAGAAGTACTTCCAGGTCAGATGCCCTTTAAAAGATTCTGCTGTGCAAATATGTGAAATTCTTCTCTTATTTTTCTTCTTCTTTCCACGCACGTATCTCACTTTCATTTTGCATATGAAAAAGAGAAAGTACTTACTAGGTTTTTTAACAGTGCCTTTTTGAAGAAATTCTCTATTCAGCTTTTTAAAAACTTTTAAAACTTTTTAAAAATCTTCCTGGGGACAATACATTGCAAAAAAGTCACTAGATGGCAAAGACAAATTGGTCATGCAATGGCTTTTTCTCTCTTTTTCTTCTTCTAGCTCTGCAAGTTTTATGACAAGATTGAAAAACATCAATAAAAGCCATTCAAGTAATATCATTATTTGTATTATTAGGATCCTTAGAGAATTTGCACTACTCTGTGTTAAACACATTATACTGGTAAAAGTATTTTAATCAGTATCTGTAAAACTGTTAAAAGCCTACAGTTGAACCTGGGAACTCTTTTAAAAAATAAGCAAGTTGAAACCCTTAATGAATTGCTGTGACAGATCTACTGAGTTAAGTGCTGTCTTGAAGAACCAACAATTTAACCATGTTATTATTCCCAGTAATGATAATGTTCTAACTAATGTTAGCTTTTCACCAGAGGAGAGTATTTTTTAGTGTTGTACCTGCTTTTACTCGGTTGCAACTTAGCAGTGTTCCCCCACTTAAATTGAGATATATGTATCAACTCAGTGACTCCTGGTCTGGTTGTCCATTTGTGTTTGTTCTTCAGCAGAAGGTAGAGAAATTGAAAATATGGGGTCCTGTGCCAGTAGCATGGTCTCTGCTGGTGGCCAGGCAGCACAAGGAGCTGTCTGAGAGCGGGATGGAGCCTGCCTGGGTCAGTCCTGGATGCAGGAATCTAGGGTTCCTGCATTTTATTGAAGTTTTTAATTAGAAAGTTGGGATGTGCTTCCTCTGGGAAAAATTACGTGTTTCAAGCATCATTGTGTCCTGTACATAGGAGGAGGGACAGGCTATTTCTCTTCTTCCATACACTGTTCTGCTGTGCAATCTTTCTTCAGTGCTCTTAGGCTTTTCCTTGCATTACAATTTTTCTGGCACTTTAGTTCTAGTCTCGTAGCAACTTCTACCCCTGAGATGGAAGATCTGGCCATCTGTACTTCTTCTCTTTTTGCCTTCTTTTCTCTTTTCTCCCTTTTTCTCACATCTGTGTCTGCTTCCAAGAGCAGAGGGAAGCTGGCCATGTGCATCCCAGGGTGTGGCTGGAGCATAGGGTGACATCCTGCGAGCAGGCTCGTGACTCCTGAGAGAGCAGCCTGCTTCACTCTGTGCACTCCTTGTGCTGCTGTTTGCCTGTTCATTGATCTTTGGATCATGATGGTTTGATCAAAAGATCCCCTGAGATGGGGTCAGGAGGGGAGATGGTGTCTAGTGAAAGGTTTGTTTTGACATTTTTCTGTTCAGGGTCATACACCAGCCCAACTTAACACCCAAGTCACAAACACTATGTGGGTCACAAAGACTCCTTGGCTCAGTCATTGAACAATGTGCCAGTGTGCATCAAATCAATGGAGAACCTTTATCAAGCAGATTAGTAAAATGTAATACATTTTGTTGCAATGTTTCCAAGAGCTTATACTTAACAATATTTCTGAGCAATGAAACAATAACAGCAGGGAACAAGCTAAAGATAAGCTGGCAAGCAAATACTTAAGCTTTATCTAGAAAGATTATTTTTTTAAGGAATGTGTTCAGTGACAAAAACAGTGGCAAACATTGCATGAAGTGGCTCATTTGTAACAAAGGAGAAGAATAAATATCATTCTTGTTCCATATTGTGGTAATTGTACTTAAGGGTGAAAAACATAAATGCTTGTTTTAATTTGCTGAAGCTTGAAGTAAAATGTAATCTAGTGAAATCCCTGGATACCATGCAACTGCACAAATTCTAAAGGTCAGGCAGAGGAGGGGGTGGGAAATATCCTGCCCTATTACTTTACCTCTTTATGTGACTTTCATGTTGTCAGATTTTGAGTGATTCAGAAAAGAATACAAAGCAGCCACTTGATATGTAGAAGCTGCTTCATGTAAAACATTTTGGTAACATCTGATCGGATGTGACCTTGCTTACATTAGACCTGGCTTGTTTTGAACAAGATCCAGAAAGCTCTGTGTGTGTATATGACATGTTTATCTGAGAAGTAATTTATAATATTCCTTTAAATTTTGTAATAGTTGTGTTTTAAAGCCTCTTGTGTGGCTAAGGTTTATTTTGGATTAGCTGTTACCTAAGATGATGGCTTTTGCACAGCATGTGCAAAATGTGCATGTGTAAAAGATGGTCATCTGTCTTCTAAAGAATTTGCAGTTGGTTTAAGCTGATTGACCAGGGCTTGAGAAATTGGCAAACGTGAAAAATTGTAAAATTTAGTATAAATTCTGTTTTTAACAAGTTTTAGAAATTGTTCTTCAACAGCTGGGTGGGTAATTCAGGGAACAAAGGGTATTATTACTTGATCTGCTTGGTTTCAAATGAACCAGAGTGATGTTTGCAAGTGAGCAGCTTTGACAGCACATCAAAGAGAAGGGAACACTAGAAACTGTGCCTGCATTTAGGTAACAATGTGAAGTGCTCCTTTTCATTCTCTGTATGTATTATGTGTTCTTTTAGAACCCATATATTTCATTTCTTGTAAACCTGTACAGCAGTCAGTTCTGCCATTGCAGCGCAGCTCAGCTGAAATGATCTGTCATCAGCTAGCTCAAATTACAGCTTTTCATTCATGGATAAGCCCCAGATACCTTTTTATGTGCAATATAAGCAGTCAATGATAATTGAGAATTAGGAACAACAGGAAGGGTGTTTCATGTTGTGGCAGATGGGAGTGATTTATTGCTTTCTAATTTAGTTGCCAGGTATCAAACAACTGTGACTACTACAATAAATTGAGGTGTTCATGGAGTACTTGTCCAGGTTAGTGGAAGCCATAAATAGATGGTACAGGAAGAAATTACAGGTTTTTTTAATGAATTTTTTTAAAGGTCAATATTTTGACAATTTTTAGTAGTTTAAAAATCTGTTCCCTCCATAAACTAAATAGTTTTTCAAAACATGAGCTATGCCCCTGGCTAAGGAAAATCAGAAGCTTGTTTACAAGCAGACAAAAGAACGATATTATTTAGCAGCATAGTATGTGTACTCTGCCCTAGGATGTATGTTTTATCCTTAAGCTTGAACTTTGTGAGCTATAGAAATAGTAAGCCGTCTTTGGAACCAGCCCTCTTTTTGAAGTTGATTGAATTCCAGCAGGGTATTTTGTCAAGGGTTTTTTTTTTCACTGCCCCTAGGATACAGGGATACAAATACACCTTTGTGAAATAATCTTCTACTTGTCTTCCCTGACCCTCTAAAAAATTCCCTTTTCTAAAAAAATTTAAAAGGAAGGGGAGGGAGGGAAAAGAAAGAAGGACAAATAGCAGAGAAAATGCAGGTGTTAGGAGTAAACAACTGATCAGCCAGTCAGGCTTAGCAATAACAGCACTACCCAAAGATGAAAAAGAAGCAGCATCTGTCTGCAGTCTGCTTAGAAATATTTCAAATTTCTGCTTCCTAGTGATGAGCGCTTGAGGACTTATTTCCCTCCTCATCTGAGACAGAGGTGAAATACTGAAACAGTTATGGTAAGATAGTGAGAGTCCCAGGCATATTGCAAAGGACACCCCTGCTGCTCCAGAGTCAGCCTTCAACCGAATCAGCAATGAAAAATTTGCCCTAAAATTGTCTTGTATAGGGTCAAGCTTTCTGCTTTTTCTCATCTTCATGGTCCTGATGATCTCTGTGCGTTTTTCTGCCTCAGTTCTTCCTTATTTAATAAGATAAGCTTTTTTTCTCTTCTCTTGCTCACTTAGGTTGTTGTAATTTTCCTCCTGTAAAACAATTACCTAAAGTGCTACACGCCTTTACCAGAAGCCCTAGCAAAAGAGTGTATGTAAATGTGTTTCATGACTGTTTCTGTTGCTTTTCAGTCGATTCCGGCGTGGACGCGTTGGCAGTGTTTATGGCAAGCGGCAGCACGACGGACGTTGTGAACCGCAACAGCCCCGCCACCCCGCCCAACACCCTGAACCTGCGCTCCTCTCACAACGAGCTCCTGAATGCAGAAATCAGGCACACAGAGACCAAGAACAGCACTCCTCCGAAATGCAGGAAAAAGTATGCTCTGACTAACATTCAGACAGCCATGGGGCTTTCCGATCCAGCAGCTCAGCCCCTTCTGGGGAACGGCTCTGCCAATATAAAGCTGGTGAAGAATGGAGAAAACCAGCTCAGGAAAGCTGCTGAGCAGGGACAGCAGGATCCCAACAAAAACCTCGGTACTACTGCAGGCGTAAATGTAACTTCTGAGAAGTTTGAAAGCAATGAGCCGATCCCACAGGATTCCTCTGGCTGTGAAATATTACCCTCGCAGCCAAGGAGGACCAAGAGCTTCCTGAATTACTATGCGGATCTAGAGACATCAGCTCGAGATCTGGAGCAGGGTTTTGTTGCGATGGAAGATAAGTCTGCACAAAGCAACAGCCAGGCTTCTACCGTTATTGTCAATGGGGAAATCCTGCCCCGGAAACAAAACAACATGCCGAGCCCAGAGGATGGCCAGGTTGCCACAGTGTCATCCAGTCCTGAGACAAAGAAAGATCACCCAAAAACTGGGGCTAAAACAGACTGTGCCCTCCACAGGATTCAAAACCTGGCCCCAAGTGATGAGGACTCCAGCTGGACTACCCTGTCCCAGGACAGCGCCTCGCCGAGCTCGCCTGATGAAACAGGTACACAAGCAAAGGCTCCTCACAGCCACTGTTTTAGAAAGGGATTGCTTAGCTTTTCTCAGCTGATGCCAGGAAGGAGAGAGGTGGTTTAGCAGTTTCAGTGGGGAAGTGGATTGTATGAAAATACAAGCACTGGCCTTGTACACAGCTGCTGGTCTGCTAGGGAATGCTTGGAAGCTTTCTGGTCAATTGTAGCAGCTTTAAGAAAAGCACCAGCAGATGGCCCATACAGGGTCCTAGAAATATGTTAACTGCACCTCTTGCTAGTTTATAAATAATTGTTCTTCAATAATCAGTGGGTGCATGTTGTGAGAGGAACGTGATTGTTGGGTGATACTGAACTACTGATAGCTAACTACACACAATGAGAAAGCTTTTCCGAGCAATGATTTTTCGGTTCAGTGAAGATTTTTACTTTTGTTATGCACAGCTTTGTAAGTATGCCCACTACATCCCAGTCATTTGATAATTGTCCCTCCCTGTGTGCCTACATGGGTAAAGAGAAACCTTCCCAGCTGAAGAGCTGTGCAGGGAGCCCTGGCGATGTCTGTCCTGGTGGTCTGTGGTTTGGGGCATGGACAGGGCTCTTCACTGGATCTAGGGCAGGAGGAGAGCATTGTGTGGGGTCTTCACAGCTCAGTGCTCTCCAACCCTTGCATTTATGTTCCAATAATAGATGTTAGGGCCCAAAGAAAGAAAGATTTATCTAGGGGAAAAAAATATGTACGAAAGTTTTAATAATATGACTTGTGGGAAGTGAAAAAAATTGCCCAGTATTGAGAACAGTTAATACATAAAAGAATGTAGTCCAGCAGGTGCCTGGGGAATTAATAATACTCAGTCCTGAGATTGTATTTAGCACACCAGTTTATGCAGAAATATGATAGAAATATGGTTTTCCTGGGAAGACACTGTTGAAAATAACAATATGCTTCTTTCAGGGCTTCTGAATTGTTTTGTCTTCCTCTTCCCACTCTTAATAATATTACATTATTCAAATCCTGGAAATCTGAATGTTGTTTCGTGAGGTATTTTTGTTATTTTGTTTTCATGTGTTTTCTTTTGGAGTTGTGTAATTCAAAAACCCTGAAAAATTTATTCTTAATTGATTGCACTGGGAATGCATCATTGTTTAGATAAAATCTTCCTGAAGCCTCCTTAGGGCAGGATGCTTCTACGTGTGGTCTAATAAAAAGGTGTTTTCAAGAGCCTTGGCTTTCTCTCTGAGGAGGTCAAAAATAAATACAACTCAATTTAAAGATACAAAACAACTGACTTATTTAAACAAATGGTAATAAACAGATATGATAGAATCCGTTAATAATGAGCATTGACCACCACAAGCGCAGTTATGGTATAAGAAATGTGTTTTGAGGAAACTCTCCTTTCTTCTCCACAGAAATTAGCTCTATGTGCATCTTGATAAGAACTACATTGACCTCAGCTTTCAGATATTTTTTTTAGCACTTTCAGCTATCTAACCTTCTTTTTTAATTTCAGTACTTAAAAAAAAAAGTCTGTGATGATTTTAGAAGCAGAAAAAACCTATAGTCAGCAAAGCAATGGGATGTCATCGAGATCTTAGCACATGCCAAGCCCTAATGGGTTTCCAGGCAGCCTTCCTAGAGACAGGCAGTGCCTTGCCACCAGAGCTGACTGACAGCCAGCACTGCAGGCAGTCCCCCAAACAAGGAAACCTGCCTCTGTTGGCCTCAGGCACTGCATCTCTCCTGGGACTTACTGTATCTATCCAGCTGAATCCTCTGTCGTTTGGAGCGTCTTATGGATAACCAGACACCAGCTCCAGGTGGTTGTAAAACTGCAAATGGACCAGAACTGGGTTCACATCATGGGGAATGCTTCCTCCTTTTCTCTCAAGAAACTTTCCTTAGTTTAGCTTTCAAAGGAAACACATAATGTGTTATTACACTGTCTACCTATACCTTCTCTCCCTCTCTGTATTCATCAGTTTCACCTGGTTGAGTTTGTATTTATTCATTGTAGGAATCCATGTGGTGCAAGCAGCAGCAAAGCACATGCCCCAGAGCTCAAACCTAGGAGAGAATGAGGGTGATGTGTTCTGTTTGTGGCTTGCTTTTTTTGTTTGGTTGTTTTTGTTTTGTTTTGTTTTTTGTTAAGAAGCTCCCTAGTAGGTGGACACATTTCTTAATCTTTGTATCACCTGAAAAACAATTTCACTGGAAAGTGATTCTGCCACAGTAAAGTGCAGTGCTCTGTGTTATAATCTCTAATGAATTAGAAATGAGAATTCTTCAGAAAATAAAAAGAATTCTCTTTGCCTCCAAACCAACAAGAAAACTGGAATGTGCTTTTGCTTTCTGTTTTAATTTAAGTAAAACCCCCTCCTTCTGGAACCAGGAATAACCCCATAATTAGGAAAGTCCCTGAGATATGGGCCACATGATGCTAGAGAGCTGCAGATGTTTCTTGCTCTGTGCCAGCTGCCCTTCTTGCTCTCTTTGGGGTTGTGGGAGGATGTGCAGGGGCAGCAGCCTCCTCAAGCTCTCCTGTCTCTCAGCCTTTGGGTCACATGCCTTGTTTCTCCCTAGTTGATATCAAAGAGGTATTAAAACCACGAGTGTCCTCTTTTTCAGGAGTGCTGCTGTGTGCAATTGCATTATACCAAATGCATCTCTGCTGCTGGTCTCCAAGCAGATACAAGAGGGCAGTTTAATAGCTGGCTACAAATAAATGAGTTCAATCCACAGCTGCAGAAATGGCAGCTGTGAGACTGGCCCTTGGGGATCAGGAGTGGTCTGAAATAACAGCACGTCTGGGGATACAATAAAAATTACAGTAAATCATGAACTAGTCAGAAAGACTTATTGCAGCGGTCAGTTCTGCCTCTGATTTTAACCAGCATCTTTGGCCAAATTAAAATGGATGTCCTCTTAAAAGCACAATTCTTCCTTTGCAGTACCTATCTGATACAGACAATAAGTCTGTTACTTGCTCAGAACATGTTTTCTGTGTTCCTGAGTGGGGAAGAAGATTTATGTACTAAAAATAGATTCAATTACATTGTGGATTAACACAAGTCCTATAAAACTAGAGAGAGAACCACCTATACAGTTGTAGGGCTCTAAGTAAACACCCAGTTTTCAGATTTTTAGGAATAAGAGTCTGGTTCACACCTGCTGTGCATCCTAAAGGCTGAAAACTTTTAATATTGGCTGTTACATATATCTATTTTTTTAATCCTGCATGTTCCTGATAATCATGTCTCAAGGATAGTGTCTGTCTTATAGTGTCAGCCTTGACCGTTTGTTGACTGCTTATGAAATAAGAAAAGTGACTATTGCTCTGTATCCCCAGTGTGTGTGTGTAGGTAACATTCTGCATGTGAAGTTACTAACTGCACATTTGTCTCTTATTTAGCTATATCCTTATAAAAAGATTTTAGGGTCAGTTTATTAGTTTTAGAAATTAAACTACAAGGGCAGCCATGGTTACACAATGTTCATGATATGAGGGTTTACTGGTAGAAGACTATAAAATAAATTGGACTTGATAGTATATTGAACTTGAAAGATGATCCTCTCAAGCACACATTACCACTTTCAGTTGCACAGGGAGGCTGCTTGCTGTGTTTAGGCAGTCAGGTTGGTTTTATTCTGTGATTCTCAGTGGAGCTACCTAAATCCCTATCTTGGATGCTTTAGTGCTCTGACTTGAAATCTAAAGATTCCACAATTAAGAGTGAAAATCAGCACCCAGATTCCACAATTAAGAGTAATAATCAGCACCCTTTTGAATTGAAATAGATAACAGAAATGGGTATGTAAAAGTGAATTAGCGTGCTTAAATTGAAAAATGGGAGAATAGATGCTCTATATAGCAATGATTAACATCCTCTTCCAAATTCTGTTTGCAGTTACCAAAATTTGGGACTATAGAAGAGGTTTTCCAGAAGGTATTGTGTGGTCTTAGTTACAGTTTCATACTTAACTGGTATCAAAAAGATAATGATTTTTTAGTTCATCAGAGCCATTCAACTTCCTCCCTAGAGTGAGCTTGGTTCAGCTGCCCACCTGGTGTCCCATGAGATGTCTGGTGGTATCCAAAACAGGCAGCAGAGAAGAGGCAAGAGCTAGGACTTGAATTCGGAGAAACAATCACAGGCTGAGCAGGATGCACATTAGGTAACACAGCTGAATTAACCAGCTGAATAGAATCTGAAACACCTGCCTTATAATGCAGAAATGAAATTTCTTTGTTTTACTGTGTCTGTCTTTGTTTTAAAAATAGCTCCGTGTTTAATCTCTGCTACATTGTTCCCAAAGGGTTGAGGATGGTTTGTCATACAGCTCTCTCCTAGCCTGACATCTCTCCCTGGGTGCCCTGGGACTGGGGGAGATTGAGTTTGAAGACACTTGCCCTGTGCTGGCTGTGCTTTGACTACTAATGCACTGATGTGGCTAGCTCAGTCCTTTGGCTACAAATAGTGTCAAATGTGGCCCAGTCCTGACACAGCTTCATTGATTTGACCTTACTCCAGCTGAACTTTTGCCACTTGATGGGAGTCTAACAAATTGGGTTGTTTTTCCCTTAATATTTCATTTCTTGTTTGGTGGTTGTCTTTTCAGGACACTTCCCAACTGCTACCTTAGTAAAGCACGTAATTCCTAATACAGAAAATATCATAGTGCTGCTTTGTATAAGTGCAATACTTATTTTGAGCATGTTAAAAATGAATATTTTTCTATTCAGTAAAATGAGTAGTTGTGGGATAAACAAATGCCTGCACGTATACCTGTATGGGAAAGTAGAAGGTGGCAATGGGGAGCAGAGGTGGTGCTGAGACAACACAGGGAAGTACATGCCAGCGTCATGCTACTGCCTGAGTAATTCACGAGATGCCCAGAGCACTCTATGTTTCCTTTAACTCCACAATGCACTTTATGTGAATGTGTAATGTTAAGAGACATTAGGACTTGCTTTTTGTGCGCTCTAGCAAAGTGGAAAACTCTCCTAAGCAT